TTTTCCTTGTTATTGTTCATATTTTCTGGCTTCATTTCTTGCCTGATAATGTCTTTATTGTAAGCCAATCATTTCAAATTTTACTTTGCTAAGTGCTAGATAGTTTTGTATTCTAGAAATGTTGCCGATCTTTGTTCAAGAATACAGTTAGATCATTTGGAAACAGACTGATGCTTTTAAAGTCTTGCTTTTAAACAACAGTTAGTCCAGGGCTAATTTTGCTACATTACTGAGGTAAGACTTTTCTAGAACTCTAATCAATTCCCTGTGAATCATGAGGTTTTCTAATTGAGCTGGTGGGAACCGCTGTGTTTCTAGGCCTTCCGTGATTGTGGCTCCCTTTAAGTTCTTTGGACAGTGCTTTCCCCAGCCTGGCAGGTAGTTTCTTTACAAAGTGAGCTCACCATTACTCCGAATATTGGAATAAGTCCATTTGCGGGTCTCTGGTGCTGTCTCTGTGCAGTGCTCTTCTGTCCTTCACTGGGCCTGTGAGCTCTCCCTTCTCTGGTCTCTAGGTCTTCCACTCAGTGCTGTCAGCTGGGTCTCTGTGGCATTCCACTATAGGCCCTGAACTTAAAATTCTCCCTTCAGTAATCTGAGAATTAGCTAGGACTCACTTAGTTTGTTTTCTTTTTCTTGGGAATCACTACATTTTTGTTGCCTTATGTCCAGGGTCTAGAAAAAGCATTTTGCCAGTTTGTTGTCTATGTTTTTAGTTGTTTCTGGTGGGAAGGTCAGAAACAAGAGTCTAGAATTAATGATACGTCCATTAATGTATTATCTTCTGAAAACCTTTACTGAAAGTTGTGACGTCCTAGAAATTGAATTGTCATAAAAATAAATTTTAATTTGGGAAAGAAATGAAGTTGATAACTACTTGGCATTAAGGATAGCAGTTGCTCTATGCTCTCTTCTGAAAACGAGAAACTCAATCATTAGCATCACCCAGACTGCATCAAAATGTTTAATCTTACAACACAGTATGCTATCTCCCAGAAAAGTCTTCTAGACTGTCACATAATCAGGCTCTAACTTAGCTAGGAGTCAGTCCTACCCTTCTCTCTGTGGGTAGGTAAAGATCAGTTTGCATGCACTGTGAAAAGCCAATGTGAATTAAGTTCATTAAATACATTTTTTTCTTAGTGAAAGCACTTAAATATACTATTTTATGTTTACTTTTCAAGATGTTATTCAGAGAAACATTTATCTTTCATAGTTTATCTCAGGGGAAATTCTGTGATGTCAGAGAGTTGGATACATGAATAACATGTATGTTTTACAGATGTCAATGAGTGTGACCTAAATCCCAATATCTGCCTCAGCGGGACCTGTGAGAACACTAAAGGTTCATTTATCTGCCACTGTGACATGGGCTATTCAGGCAAAAAAGGAAAAACTGGCTGTACAGGTATGCTTTCTTTTTCGTAGTAAACAATAAAATATTAAGCTAAGAAATTGCCCCCGTAATTACAGACTAATACAAGTTCTAAAACAATGATGTGACTGCATTTATAAGGCATTTTGTATAACATTTATTTCATTAGTTTACCTTCTATGCCTTTGAAATTTTTCATACTTTTTATTGGATCCAAGTTGAAGTTTATTCCTTCATCTGTTAAAATAAATGTGTTGAATAAAATAATATTTAAAAATGATGCAATTTTTTTGAGGTTGAAAAAACTCACACCTTCAGATGAAATGAATAAATATGCTGGTTATCAAAGCAGGATTATCTCCCATAACCTCCTTTGCTAGCGCCTCATCTCGCAACTGAACCTGCTTTTAGAGAACTGCATCTTGCACGCTGTGTCTTTCATCTGTTCTCAGTCTTCCATTCCTTACAGTGATTTGGATGTATTGACTTGTCTTTATTCACGGAACTTAGCAAATGTTATCTAGTGATAATTGGACCGTTCCCAGTTTCTCTGCTCAGAAAACATTTCACGATGTCTTCAAGAGGCTGTCCTATTAAATTCCAAATGGAAAGAGCCACGCTGTACAGCAACATTGTTTTATAAGTGTTTAGTTAGTATTTTCAAACATGAGGTCATGAAATTAAGTACATGGAATGGCAAAAACAATAAAGTTTTACTGTAGTAGCTTATATTAAACTAACAGATTATGGTATGTAATGTAATTTAAAACAAAATGGAGACCACAGTGAGCTTGAATTAGGTAACTATAAACAAACGTTTTAATAATTCATGGGCTTTCATTTCAAAAGCCCTTTGGCAAGCCCCCGTGACTTAACAAACCACAAACTGATAGAGTGGCAAATGTAAAGATCTTCCTCTTAATTATATCAGTATGTTTCACAAAAACATCAAAATACATTTGTTACTGTTAAAAGTGGCCATGATGTTACATGTCAAATTTACTAGTATATGGGATAATGCCAGTAATATTACTGGTAGTTCAGAAATGACAGATTCTGGCCATGGAAAGAGGCATAATGCTAGACTGCTTTCATGCATGCTATGTTGCTCTTGGTGTAAAGCATGGCTAGGGGTCCATTCTGATCAATGGACAGTGCTTAAACTCTCAACTCATCTATGCAGCCTCTCAGGTACAAATGATTCTATGGTTCAAACTTTCTTCTGACCTTCCAATAAAAATCTAAGGCTTACTAAGGGTGGTGGTCTGGCAGTAATGATAGCAGCATAGTTCTATGCTGCCTTTTAATGAGTAAAGGGAAAAAAATTAAGGTCATTGAAATTCAATGCAGAGGGCTATGATGGTCATGAAGAGAGACAGTCTCTGGGGAAAGTCTTCACGGCCTATAGGAAAAGGTTCTAGAACACCATTTTCCAAATTCTAGCCCATGTACGGTGGCTGATTACTGTTTTAAGGTCTTTAGCATGAAGAAAGATTGAAATTTCATGCTATAGTTTTAACACTGTAGGTAAATGAGATATAATACATATA